TATTTTTGCCTTAGAAAAATGAATGTTATATTATCATCACATAGCTTTTCATAATCTTTGTTAAGAATTGTCTCCTTTATTATTAGAAAGTACCACATGAACTTCTAATATAGTGCTTTTGTCCTAAATTCAGCATGCTTGAATTTGAAGTTATAATCCTCAAATTAATTTAAGAGTTTCTTTTTATTATAGAAAAGAAGTATTTAAGAATCCTCTTTCCTAAATGGTTCTGGATTAAATCCTGCCAATGAGTGCTTCTTGCATGAGATTTAAATGGTGGAACACATTAGTCTGTTACACACTGCGATCAGTTGCAGCCAGATGCCTGGGCAGATGTGAGATTCCCGGGAGCTTCCTAGGAAGCGTTTGAGAGACATCTGCTTTGTAGTGGCAGAGGTAGCTACTGGGGACTTTCTTGACATTCTTGAAAATCACAACAGCTTCCCAGAACATACTTTTTGATATGAAACATGTCTTTTCTATACCTTGCAAATATGGTTCAGACATCAACATTTTATCCTTTCCATTTTCAGTTGTAGGGGTTTTAGCAAAACATTCAACTTCAGTTAAAATATGGAAACTCCTCATCCTCAATATTTCTGATTTTTTTTTTGCATTTAATCTTCCTTTTGCATACAGTCCCTGGCAACCACTCCCCCCCCCCCCACCGATTTCTGTCATCATATAACAGTTGTTGATATTTGGGGATTCTACATGAATTGAAACATATGGGTAAAACTTGCTTCTTTCACCCAACATAAAGCTTAAGGGATTCATCGTTTGGAGGATATTAGTAGTTCATTGAGCGGTACTGACTATCCTTTATTCTGTTGCTAGACATTTGGATTGTTTCCAGTTTTGTATGAGCTTCCTAGTCCAAATCTTTTATAAACATGTGTTTTTATTCTGGGAGCGGAATCACGGCTTCGTAATAAAGATGTATATTGAACAATATGAGGAACTCACCAAACAGTTCTCCAGAGTGGTTGTGTCATGTTAACGCCTGCCACCAGTGTGTGAGAATCCCGGCCATCACAGTCTCAATCTTTTTTGGATTTATCAGTTTTAAAAAACTTTAAACCATTTTAAGAAATGTTAGCCAATATCACATATTTTTCCCTTATCAAAATAGTATCTAAAATGTATTTCCGTCATACTAATGATATTAATTAAACACCTTTTCATACACCTTTTGAACATTCCTATGTCCTCTTTTGTAAATTAGTTTATAAAAGAATTGGCCCATTTGAAAAGCAGTGACTTGTCTTTTGTTTTCAGTGACTAAACTTTATATGTTGACAGTGGTTTTAGGCATACAGAAAAACTGAGCAGAAAGCAGAGTCTCTTACTTACTCTTGCCCCTCCCCTACAAATTCTTCCTATTATTCGTGTGGTGTATTTGGTTCAGCTGATGAATCCGTAGTGCTACATTATTAACTGGAGTCTGTACTTGTTATTATGGTGCAATCTTTGTCCTGTACGTCTTTGGTCATTGAAAAATCTATAGTGATATGTATACACTATCAGATCATCATGCAGTAAAATCCTCCCTGCTGTAACTATCCCTTCTTAATCCCATCCTGCCTCTGGCCATCACTGATGATTTTGCTTTTTCCATTGTCTTGTCTTTTCCACAAAGCAATAAGTTTGCAATCTTAAGGTATGTAGCCTTTTTAGATTGGTTTCTTTTACTTAGCAATAGACATTTTAAAGTTCCATCTTTTCTTTTCATAGTGTGAGAGCCCATTTCATATTATCACGAAATAATATTCCATCATCAATATGTAGCAGGTTATTCAACTGAAGGATATTTTGTTTGCTTCTAAGTTTTTGGCAGTTGTGAATAAAGAAATATGCATTCAGGAGCATATTTTTTTGGACCTAAATTTTCAACTCTTTTCTGTTATATTAAGTAGTGTAATTGCTGGGTAGCATGATAAGAGTATGTTTAGCTTTGTAAGAAATTGCCAAACTATGTTCTAAGGATTGTTTTAATTCTCGATTTTTAGGAGTTATTTATATATTTCTTACATATAATTATACTAATGGTATACAATACACATGCTCCATTACATGTTCTAAAACATATTTAGATTTTATATGTTAAAAATATTTACCTATTCTATTGTTCCTTGGTATGTATCTGTATGTATATTTTCAGTATCTTGTCTATAAATTTTCTTAATAGTGTCTTTTGGTGAGAGTAAATTGTCCTCTTTTATGAAGTTTAATTTATGATGCCTTTCTATTGATGAATAGAAAATTCATAGTTTTAGCTTTTATTTTGGGTCTTTGATCTATCACAAATTAATTCTTATGAATGGCATGAAGTTTGGAGATACATCTCTCTTTCCATATGGCTATGTAGTTGTTCTAAAAGTGAAAAATCTGTTCTAAAAGTGAAAGTACAGCAATTCATATTCCTAAGTCTGACATGTTTATTTCCGAAAACTATTCTCTCTTTAAGGTAATGAGGGTTCCTGGGAGAAATGACTGATTCCAGAGCTGGGGCAGGAAAAGTACAAGCTGAGTCTGGGATATCATATTGCTCCAGAAGGAAAAACATGTGTGATAAAATACAATAAGTCAAACAGACACAGGAGTCAGTTTAAAAGAGGTCCTGCTAAATAGACCTGGGAAATGTATAGAGATAGAAATGGATTATAATCCATGGAACAAAATAGGAACCCAAGAGTTCATATTGGTAAAATGTAAGTATTTGAATAAAAGAAAATGTAAATCTCTCCTTTAAAGTAGAATGCAAACTAATATTAAATATTTCTAATAATAACAAAACCATTATCTTTAGTTTGAGTGGGGAAACCTGGCAGAAATCATCGTTACCATCTGATTAAAGTTACTACCATCATTAGTGTAATGAAAGAACATCATGTGTTTTCTGATATGATGTTTTCTGCACTGAGAAAAACAACAGTCCTCCTCTCTGGTATTTCTGCCAAAAAATGCATACCATGAGACTAATAATGAAGAAATGCCAGGAATTGTTGGATATTTTCCAAAGTTACTAGAAAACCTGCACTTTTTAAAACTGTGAAGGGGGCCTCCTTGGTAGCGCAAGGGGTTAAGTCACAGCACTAGGAAGCTATCTGAGCCACTGCAGCAGTTCAATCCTCCACCAGGAACTGACCCACAGGGCACTGCAGACGTCTCCTGACCCGCCCGCTGCTCCCTTCAGCAGTGTACTTCATCAGTCGGCCTGTTCTGCTCCCACTCTGTCTCTGGTGAAGCCTCTCACCACCCCTGCACCTCTGTCCTGTCCCCTAGTTCTTGTGTGCATAAATAAATAAATCTTTTTTAAAAAAGTAGACAGCCTGTTACGTCCATGGATACCCATTCAGTTCTACTGTCAAAGGAGTGAAGAGGGATTTTTAAAAATGATTTTTGCTTTTTAAAAATTACATTGATCATTGTGTAATAAAGACCAACTCATAGTCAGAGACAGAACACACTGGACAATCTGTGCAGTACCACTTCTCATTTTGCAATGAACATCCGAGCCCTGAGATACTTTCCATTCACCAAATATTTATAGGTTTTTTACTCTGGGCCAGGATAGAGCAGCTACGAAAGCGAAGTCTTTGTCCACAGAGATTTGCATTCTAAAGTGGCGGCGGAAGATGGACAAACTGCTATTTGATATGAGGAGCACTACTGTGATTCATGCTACATAGTGAAATGAAGCTGGTTAAGGGGTAAGAGATTAGAAAGCCAGATGTTCTCACGGATGATGTTGCCAGAAAAGCCCTGGCAGAAAAGAGTGGGAGAAGGAGCCTGGTGACTAACTCAGGGGAGAGCCTTGCAATGCAGAGGGGATGGAAAGTGCAAAGATCTCGGGGTCAGAGCTGCGTGATGTGTATGCTAGTGAGCAAGGAAGACATGGTCAGCAGAGCAGGCAATGGAAGAGGTGGATGAGGTCGGACTTTGTAGACCTTGACCAAAGCTTTGTTTTATTTTGAGTGAGAGGGGAAGACTTGTTTTGAGCAGGAGAAGGATGAAATCTAACTTTGTTCTAAAGGATTCCTGTGCCTCCTCTGTGGAGGAAGAAAGTGGAGGAAAAGAGTGCAAGCTAAGTGGTTGGTTGCCACGCAGAGTGGTGGTGCTAGGGATATAAGCGATTGGATTGGGTATGTATTTTAAAAGCAGAGTGAACAAATATATTGGTGCAGAAGTCCTGACCCAATTCAGTTGTCAACAACTATTTGAATAATCACAGTTATAGTAAACAACACTTAACAACACAGCTCTTGATAGCTAAGATTTAGATCAAGTGACCAAAGGACACTCACTAATATTATGACATGAAATACAGTAAAGACAGGATGTCTGCAAATGATTACTGGATGCTGTTTTTGCAGACATCTTTATGCATTTTCATTTAGAAAAAGCCTTTAAAAAAGGAGAGCAGTACACAATAAATAAAAATCCCTGTGAAATATTGTTTTGCCCCGGAGAGCCAATGCCCCCAGGGTCTTTCTTATCCCTAAGAGGCTGTGTGATTCCACCATGTGGCCAGCAGTACGGAAAGTTCTGCAGGTGGGTGAGATTTAAATGGGCAAGGAAATGTGTAAGCAAACCATCATGTAAATGGTATCTGGTGGCCAGAGACCCATAAAGGGACAATGAACTGTATGAGTGGGGGGAGTTAAACGGCCTGTATGCCGTTACACAGGAGCTGGTTTTCCCTGCTGAGATGGGTCGGTCTCTGCTATTGCAGGACCTTGACCAGGCATCAGGCGCGCCGCGGGGTCAGGTCGCCCGGGCCTAGGGAACCGCGGGCTGCCACCGAGACACCGCCCGCCCCCCTTGGCCACGCCCCCTCTGGAGTCACAGCCACTCGGCTCACCGGCGCCGCCGTGGCCACGCC